TTTAGAAAGATTTTCAAAACTAATATTGAACAAATAGTGATATGAAAAAAAAATTCTAATTAGCTAGTAGACTCCACATAGGCCACATTTTTTAAAATTTAAATTTCAATACAGTCATGTGACATGATGGAACTGTAATCTGGGAAATATGTTAGTAGGCAATTTCATCTGTGTGTATCGCAAAGTACCACACAGAGTGCCAACTTCTAAGTGCAAACTGAGAAGGTATATGTCAATCATCTGTGATGGCCCCTTGATGTTATCCAAATACGCAGTAAAACACGAGTTACATGAGGCTACCACTGGCATAGCAGCACACTGTTTTACAGTAAACTCTTTTATATAAGTAGGATTATGCTCTAAAGGATGAAAAGCACAGCATGTTATGATAAGTACCTAAAACAGTAACAGTCATTTATCATACTATCGAGTACTGTGTACTGTACATAGTTGTATATGCTTCTTCTGGAAGCACACCCTTCTCTCCTTTGATCTCAGTGACTCTTCCTTCCCAACCCACTGATGAGCTCCAGCCTAGTCTCTATCTACATCTCTTCCTATATATAGTTTTAAACACAATCTATATATGGATTCTTTCCAGATTCCAGCCTGTAACTCTGATCTCTCCCCTTCCCCTCCTGCCACCTCTACCCCTTTGAACCGTTTCTTCCTATTTCAAATTATCAGTTATTCATTTTAATCATTTTAATCCTTATGTACACTTTTAGTTTCTCACATTAGAGAAACTATTCGGTATTTACACACATGTGTCCTTTTTATTTCACTTAAGAGGATGGCCTCAATATGCATCCATTTAGCTATAAATGTCTCTAGTTTCTCATTCTTTATGGCTCAGTAGTACTCCATTTTATTAAAAAACCACATCTTTGTCCAGTTTCCAGTGGATGGGCAGTTGGGCTGTTTCCAAGCTGTAGCAATTACAAACTATGCCGCTACAAACATGGGTGCACATATATAGCTGTGGTTTGATTCTTTTAATTCTTTTGGGAAGATACCCAGCAGGGG